TCTGATAAAGTGGACGCGCGTTAGTCGGCCCGTTAGCTCAGTTGGTTAGAGCGTCGTGCTAATAACGCGAAGGTCGCGGGTCTGATCCCCCACGGACCACAGTCTTTTCCTGCAGTTTTTAATTGTTTGGAAGGGAGCCCTCCGTAGAGAAAAATAGTCTGATAAAGTTTACGCGAGTCCGGCGGCCCGTTAGCTCAGTTGGTTAGAGCGTCGTGCTAATAACGCGAAGGTCGCGGGTTCGATCCCTCACGGGCCAGTCTTTTTCTGCAGTTTTAAATTGTTTGGAAGGGAGCCCTTCGTAGAGAAAATAGTCTGATAAAGTGGACGCGCGTTCGTCGGCCCGTTAGCTCAGTTGGTTAGAGCGTCAAAGCACAACGCGAAGTTGCGCTCACCCTCAGATCAGGAACCTTCTTGGTTGCCTCTATCTATGCCCCACCAAATCCAAATTACAGAAACTTGGGAGCCGACCTCGACGGTATTTTCAAAATTTTTAAATCGGCTTTTTTAGCCGGTGACTACAATGCTAAGCACACCTCTTGGGGCTGTAATTACAGCGATCCCAGAGGTAATTATCTACCAAGATATATAAATAAATAATAACTTAGATCTAATTGCTCCCCCCACCCCAACTAGATATGGAACGGACTCCGCTTCCACTCTAGACTATGCTCTGATTAAAAATTTAATTTGGCCCTGTACTGATTCCATTCCGAACCTGTTCTGACCATAACCGGTCAGATTTCACTTTCCAAGAACTTCCAATTTTGCTATCCCCTCTCCCCAACTAAATACTACCTGGAGCATCTTCACTAAAATTCTCGCAAATTCTGGATAACTTTTTTCTCCCGACTGCAAAATTCTACCCACGAGATCGACTCCCAAGTCAGCAACCTCACTGATGAGATCCTAATGCGCACGCAAGTGCCTCTCGTCCTTTCTACCACACGGAACAAATCAAAGGTGCAGGTGAGCTAAAAGAGCTATTCAAGGAATGAAAACAAAGCCAGGAAAACCTGGCAACATACAAGACACCCACAACATAAAACAGAGTTAAACAGATTACAAAACGCTATTAAAAGGAAAATTTATCATTACAGACAACAGGCATGGGAGGATAATCTTTCTACCTGAATGCTGAGTGGATAATACCCTTTGGGGAATTAGAAAAGCTTTCAGGAAGAAACCTCCCCGATTTCCGCCCTTTAATGGCCCCACTGGTATTGCTCTCAGCGATACAAACAAAACTGAAGTAATTGCTCATTCGCTTGAGAAGCAATTTCACCTTAATGACATTCACAACCCACGCAAGACGAGATCATCACCAGTTGTTGATGCATACATGGACTGAATACTAAACAATACTGATAGATCACAGCCTTCTTCATCCCCACTCTCCCATCTGAAATTATTCAGATCATTAAAAAGATTAATCAAAAAGTGTCCGGGGAGAGATGGGATCACTAACAAAATGCTTAAAAAAAATTACCGCGCCTCACTACCAAGATTACTAACATCATACAACATGCTAAATTTTAAGATACTTTCCATGTCTTGGAAGACTGGGTGGTTGTTATTCGATCCTAAAAACCAGATAAAATTCGGCTTTGGCCGAATCCTACAGTAATTTCAATAAGTCTATTTCCTGTTCCTTGCAACTGGCTGAAAGTGATTTTTAGCCAGACTCAACGACCATCTCGAAAGAGAAAATATCCTTCGATCCGGAGCAGCACGGGTTCCGGGTTCCTGCTCCTCCACCTCACATCAACTTCTCAGAGTCGTTGAATTTATTAAGGAAGGAAACAACAAAGATGAATGCACGGCCGCGGTCTTCCTTGATATTCAAAAAGCCTTTTGATAGACATACATGGCATACTGGTTTCACTTCTTTAAATTAATCACCTATAAAATCTCGCCCCCTCTTATTTACCTGTTAAATTCTTATATTCTGGACGCTCCTTCACTGTAAAATTAATCGTACCTTCTCGCAACTTAAAAAGATTAACGCTGGGGTGGCCCAAGGGTCAATTCCTGGCACCAACTCTCTTTAACCTCTACGTTAATGATATTATTAAAAATTCTAATACCATAATATGCATGTATGCAGATGATACAGCCATACTCAGCAGACACAGAAACCTCGACACAACTAGTCGAAAATATCAATGAACACCTAGCTCACCTGAGACCTGCTCTCCGTGAAAATGTTTAAACTTTCCAAAAACGGAAGCGTTTTCTTTTCAAAAGGAAAACCTCCACCTGAAATTAGTTCTTACAAAATCAAAGAATACTCCTGGAAAGCGTCTCAGCTTCTGCCACACCGGTATCTTGGTGTAATCGTTGATAAAAACTCACTTTCCGACAACACATAACATATATTAGAGATAAATTTAAAAATACTACGCGTAAACTTTACTCCCTTATCTGCAGAAAGTCTAAATTGAATAGACATAACAAACTGCTTATCTACACTCTGATCATGAAACCATTACTTACCTATGCCTCCCCAGTTTGGGGACATGCAGCAAAAACTAATATAAATTTACTCGAAACTGCTCAAAATTTAATAATAAGACAAATTTGCAATGCTCATTGGTATATGCGAAATAAAGATCTAAGAATAGCTTGCAATATACCAACTATTCGACAGACCATACGAAAACTTGCTATCAACTTTTTCAATAATATAGACGAATCAGATAATGCTTCTATTAATGATATCTCCCCTACTTCTCTCACTTTTCTGTAAAAAGACCAAGAGACATCTTGGTCAATCCAGACTTCAATTAATTTATTTAATTTATTTATTTTATGCTTTTTATTTTATTCTTTAATTTTTCTTTTTCTTTCTCACTGCAGTCCAAATTCGTTGAACTGCAGATGCTCTCTGATTGGCTATTCCCCCTATATCACATTAGCCGAACTCTTTGCTCGGCCAATCAGATCACCTCCTCTTTTATTTTCTGACTTGGATCAAAAACCAAGATCACTTTCCCGCGCTTTCTGGTAGTCAGTTTTTGCTGCACTCGGATTGGCTAGGATAACTCCGCCCTCTTTTCTCGCATTTTTCAATGATTTTTTTCACTGTTTTTAAAGTTAAATTTTTAATAGTTATTTTAATCTCACATCCAAGTAATTTATATTTTTAAAATCTACGGAACTTTCTTATTACTAAACTGATTTATTCCTAAAACTGGGCAATGGTAGAACTCGTCAAAGGCATATCAAAAATTACCTGATAGGAGGTTAGAGGCCGACAGGCCTAGGCACTCCATCCAGTTCATCAACGATCATTTAATAACAACGCGAAGGTCGCGGGTTCGATCTCCTCACGGGTTAGTCTTTCCTCGGACGCTGACCAGTGAGGTTGAACTGCAAACGCTCTCCCTCTGCTACTACGACCGACCGCCACGTGGCATATTGATTCGGCAGTATCTTGTTATTTTCCCCTCCCCATATTGATAGTGCATCTATTATCTACAGCCCTTGTCAGGGCTAACCTGCTTGAGCAGACACTGTAATTCTCCCCTATTTTTTGACCTGATAACAAAATGGAAATGGATAATCGAAACGAACCCACGGATTTGGACTTAATCGACTCGCCCAGACGAACACCAACTCCTCCACCTCTTTCGGCATGTGAGCAGATTTTACAAACCAAAGCCCAGCTGCAAAAGATGGAGACTTTCAAAAGTTCAAGCTGGCCTGCATCGCTGAACTTCAAGCCATGCTTGATCACCACCCGGATGAGCCTTTCTACAGACGTGCCGTTTCGGAGCTTCAAAGAAGTTGAAGAAACAATTAACTTGGCGGTAAGTGATTTAGCCTCATTTCCCTCCTTTGTGTTTCCCCTGGCTGCCCTCATCATGATTCAGGATTGAAAATTCTTACGCCCTAAAAAACTCCCCAGATGTAACTCCACAAAGAGTGGTAAACCTTAATAGTAACAGGATTTCCAATAAACGAAAAGAAGAATCGGACTTTGAATATCCTCCTCTAAGGAAGACAACTAAAAGCAAATTTTTAAATATTCAAATGATAGCATTTCGATTTCCCCAAATAGATTTTTCCTTACCTAGTGATAGCAATATGAAGAAATCACAGGTTCTCAAAACGCTATTATTCCGTTGTTACTCCCAAACCCCCATCGGCCACTGGCCCCTACCCTTCCGGCAATCAAAACCCCGTTAGTACGCTTCCCCCTCCAGTCATGCTTAGAATCACTGGAAGCATCAGAGAAAGTCAAATGAAAATTATTAATGAAAAGTTCCCTAGATAGATCCCGTACAACCGGAGAATTTATTAAACTTTATACCGATAACTTAGAACAATTTCATGAACTGTTAACTTTTGCTAAAACTAAATTCCAATTTTATGAAATTAAACCAAAAACGAGCGCCCCATCAAGGTTGGCTACTGAAAGGACTGCCCGCAACTAAAGGTCGAAGAAATTCAAGCCGACTTAGAACTAGGCTTTACCCTGAAAAGTAAATCAGCTAATAGGCCGCCGTAGTAAACAGCCTATCCCGGTATTTCTGGTGACTCTCCCAAGAAGTATTGAGAATTTAAAAATCTTCCACTTAAAAACCCTAAGTTACTTAAGCATTCGTGTGGAAGGTTACAACGGAAAGGTGTCACGCAATGCTACACGTGTAACCACTTCCATCATAATTCAGAGAACTGTCATCTAAACCCCCGCTGCTTAAAATGTGGTGAGGGGACGCTATTACGCGTGAATGCCCAGCCGAAGGCTAGAAACTGCCTACTGTATCAACTGCGAAATGTGCGGCCCATGGCTAACTGGAGGATGCCCCTGTTTCCCAAAGCCCCCTAAGGGGCACTGCCCTGAATAATCGTAATTCGTATACTAATATATACAATAGTATTATAAGACCCAATGTATCTATGCTCAAGCCACATGAAATCAAATAAAATTTCAACCAACTTTAACTCCCAAAACAACAACCGATGGCACCAAAAGGACCTGTGAATTCTGCTCAAATTGAGGCCAATAGAAATCCCTCTGCAAATAACAGATCCATTCCAAATTTTAATAACAAGTCTAATAATAACTTTAACGGATATAACTTTAACGGAAATAT